ATTTCTGTTGAGAATTTTTAAATATCCCACACAGCTAACCGCCATCCCAAAACTAAAATGAAAATCAAGTTAAAATAGATGTATCCAAGGGAAGCAAACATTTGTTTGTGAATGGTGAAAAAGAACCCCACAGAAGTACAGGATTCCAAATCCAGGAAATACTAACTGATGGAGACAAAAAATTCCTTCAAGGAATCCCCCATAGAAAAGTAAATTCCAGATGCCCTACTTTGATGATTTGATAATTGCCCCCTAAATTATAGCAAAACAATTAATAGAATCGCTTAGGTAAAGATCTAAGGAATCTACCTAAATTATCAGCCCCCAAACTCAGGGACAAATCTCATTTATTCACTTCAATTTCCAGCATTCAGCATTAGTGTCCCTACACATTAACCCTGTTGTCCCCCATCCTCTCTTGACATGGCATTTCTGAAGGCATCATCTGTCCCTAGAGCAGTGTTTTTATTTTTGAGACAGTCTCATCTAGCTTTGTCATCTGGGCTAGAGTACTGTGGAGTCAGCCTGGCTCACAGCAACCTCGAACTCCTGGGCTCAAGCGATCCTCCCGCCTGAGCACCTCGGCCTCCCTGAGTGCTCGGATTACAGATGCAAGCCACCATGCCTGGCCGAGCAGGGGTCTTGATCAGTGGTTCCTGAACCCTTTGGGTAGGTCTGTTAATAGATTTCAGAAAGGTTAATAAAGCCCCTGAAATGTTACAGTAAATCTTGAATCTATAACTTACGTGATCCAAAAAGATAAGGAACTGCAATTCTAAAGTGAGAGCCCGAGGAAAGCCCAACCACGCCCACCCCACAGCGCCACTCACCTGAGCGCAGCCAGAGTCCCAGTGGCAGGAAAACCTTCGCAGCTGCTCAGCGCAGTCCCCGGTTCCACCCGTCCCACCTCCTGCGCCGCCCGGGGAAGGCTCCCGCCGCTAGGTGGAGAGAGGGGAAGGACCACCCGGTCAGGGCTGCCTCTGGGAACCGCCTCCGTGAGCTCTGGACGTGGGCGGAAGCAGCTTCCCGGACCGGCAGCTTCACTGTGGCTCCCGTCGCCGCACACAACCCCTAGGTGCCCAGGCTCCGGTTTTCTTCTGGCCAGATCCTCACGGCCAGGGCCTCGAGATGTACGCGAGTCCATCCTGGACTAATTCTTAGAAGGTACTAGGTTCGCGTTCGTGGGGCGGGGGAATCTGAATCCCACGGTGAGCATAAGCAGACCCTGGAAAGTCACTGAAGTTTTAATAGGGCCTTCGGCAGATGCTTTAGAAGACTAAATACGTATCCCGTTTTCAAAATATTTAAAATTCTATGAAGGCCACACCAAACAAAATGAAAAACTGCCTTCTCCCAAATCAGGGTACCAACAGAGAGATAACTACGCAAACAGCCAAGTACGGAAGCTATGGGAAAGGGAGGAGGAGTAAACAACTAACCAATGCTGCTGCCCTATATAGAAATGTAATTAATGCTGAACAATGAAATCAGAACACATTTCTACCCTACCCCAAGACTCCAGAGACAGGTGGAGTAGGGGTAGATTATCTACTCCGTGTGAAATAGGGTACACCACTCACCTTCCTTCCCTACTACGTAACCATTACTCCCAAACCCTCACACATATACCTGATGATTACTATTCCATATTTTGAGCTTCCTACTTTAGCTTAAGGCCACAGTCTTTCACTCCTACTAAAATACATAGGATTCAAGGAAGAAAAGTTAAGCCTTACCAGTCACATCTCAGCCTATGCCTTGAGAGCAGACCTTGAACAGAATGAGAGAGGAAAGGGCACCAGACTCTAAGGACTGAAGGGAAAGGTACAAAAATGGTATTTTCAATTACAGTGGGTTTATTGGGATGTAACTCCACTGTAAGGCAAGGAGCATCTGTACATACAACTTACAAAATGATAAAGGCTTAAGATTTCAATACAGATGTCTAAACTCAGTGAGTCAAAAATACAGATTGAGCACGCCTAAATCCAAAAATCTGAAATCCTAAATGCTCCAAAAACCAAAACTTTTTGAACACCAACATGATGTCACAGACTGTCCACATGGGTGGCTGAGATAGTGACATCTTTGTTCTCTGATGGTTCAATGTACACAAACTGTTTCATGCACAGAATTACTATATAAAATTACCTTTAGGCTATAAGGTGTATATGAAGCATAAATGAATTTTATTTTTAGACCTGGGTCCCATACCTAAGATATTTCATTACATATT